CGCCTGCTCCCCAGAACCCCGCACTTAGGCTTATCGCACCGTCGTTGAGGACGTATGTCTCTGCACCGTAACTTTTCCCGCTACCTTTCTCAGCAATAAGTGCGAGAACGCGTGCACTCCCATCAAAAACGCGTTGTATCTGAACGGCGTTATTTTCAAATGGCTCGTAATCTTTTTTCGCACCTTCTGACTTCTGCAACACCGTAGGTGGACGTTTTATCGCTAATGGGCTGAGTTTTCCGTCCCGTACAGCAAGCAGAGTGTCAGAGAGAAATGGGTCCACATTCGGTGTCTGTGGCAGAATACCGGTATCGTCCCAGATATCTGTGATGCGGGTATCTTCCATCGGGATTCCAAGGTCTGACGTGGACGCACGTATCCATACAGTACCGTTACGCTCCCATAACGATACGTGCCTATCGTCGCGCACACTGTCAGGCGGTTTCCAGTAGTGGGAACCGTTCTCTTGCTTGATATACGAAAAACCGCGTTTTATAAGTGCCTGTTTCGCAAGGTCTAAATTATGTGAGCCCAAGGAGGCTGGTGCCACAGGGTGATCTAAGACAACATATCGCAGTCCCTTTTTAACAAGCATTACGGGTTGGTGAAGCGTATCACGGAGCGCGTCAATAGGTGCAAAGAGAGCCTCTTTGGAAATTACAGGTGGATCTAACAGGTTGCCGAACAGAATCTCGTAACGTCCATCCCAACGGTTGTATCCTTTGTCCCCAAAGATTTCAAGGTACACCTCTTGTTGATATGAATTTTCTGGTGTATGCTTATAGATATACTGCCTTGCTTCCTCGGTATTCGGGTGGAGGTAATCTCGAACTCGGCATGAGAAACGCAGTCCACCAGACTTTGTAATTGTCAGTAGTGGGTTTGCTACGATGTTAACCAAAGTCTCAATACAGACTGAAACAGCATCTGGTGCAGCACACACGGCTTGGTATGTAAAATTGAGATCGTGCCAACGGGCACTATCCTTTGCGGATGGGATACCTGTGTACACCTGAATTCCGCATGAGCCGTGCCATTGTCTAATATACCAATCATCTATGCCTTGGCGTTTCAAGAACCGTCCACCGCCAAAATCTGTTGGGCCGCTTTCATACGCCGGGGCGCGACCTATCGGCATAAATGAGACATCTGCCTGCTCAAGTTCATAGAGTTTCACGGGGTATCTATACGCGCAGTAGACTGTAAAATGATACGGAAGCCCCTTATATAGTGCCGGGGTTATCACTGTTTTCCGCTGCTGGAGCGACTTTTCACGCCGTTGGTGACAGTGTTGAATAATATCTTTTAAGATGTTCATGGTTAGCAAAAAGCGGTCGTGAACGCCTCGGTTCTGCTGAGTCGAAGACCTTTGGCATAAGTTTGCGTTTGTTCTGTCTCACGTTTACTTAGCAAATTTTGTGCCTATTCCTTTAAGAGAATGTAATATTTGTGTGAAAACACAGGCACAGATTGGTTTCGTTCACATTTAGTGTAATAAAGGAAGTCCCTCGCGTTTGCTCGAAAAACTGCCTTTACGGACATAAATTGCATACAGAAATCAAAAAAAGCAGGCTTTCTTTCAGAAAATGTTCGTTGAAAATCGGCAATTTTTACGTTTAGCGGATGCATCGCCCCATAAGAAGTATACACAATCTCTGACTCGGTTTATCAAAGTCAGCACAACACGTCACATTTTCTGAAGAGATACCGTTTTCAGCATAAATTGTATGCACAAATCAAAAAATGTGAACATAACCCACACAATGTAAACACTACATGGTTAAACGTGAGCTCGGTTCTGCTAAGTCCAAAACCTTTGGCATAAGTTTGCATTAAAAAAGGCACTTCTTAACTGAAGGCTGAAAACCGACAACCATTAAAAAGCGCAAAGCGGTAGACAGGGGATCCACCGCTTTTGCATCAGGTCAATTCGGTTGAAGAGAACAGTATTCTCCTATAGAAAACAAGTTGAAGAGAACAGTATTCTCCTATGGAAAACAAAAATATCTGCAAACACGCGCTCGCATTGTGTTTCAAATAGTTAATGTTAAGCCTCGCTTGTCCGCGAAACTTCCATTCAGCGAATGGATTCAAGGAATACCCCATTCTTACATTATAAATTAACCTTTTTAGCAGGTGTATAATCCCCGCGTTGTTATGTCATTAGCGTCTCTAATAACACAACTAACTTTAATTATACGAGATTAATAAAAGGTTGTCAATAAAAATGAGTTTTATTTTTGATTTATCCTAAATAAAGCAATTTATCATAATTAGTCATTAAAAACCAAACCCTAAACCCTGAAATTCTAATAAGACAACTATTTATACATTATTAGACTACTATAGTGAATCGTAAAAATAAAGAGACACTTTCATCCCCGGTAGGTGCGGTTTTGCGGCGTACACGCCCAAATTTGGTTTCCCATACGCGGAAACAAAATTTTGCTTCGCAGTGAGAATGCTTTACATTTGCGATCTGCATTCCTAACCACACCATAAGCGTCAATTTAAGGGAAAATTACCGCCTCGACCCCCGGACCCGGTAGGTGCGGTTTTGCGGCGCACTCGACCAAATGCAACCTGCATTCCTAACCGCACCGGATACTCGGCGAAAACCTTCAGATGCAGTGCTTGCTAAACACGGTTTCCGCTAAACAAGAAACTGAGGTCCCGGTTGGGATAAGCTTGGTTCGGTTAGGAAACCGAACCTACCGGACCTGGGGACCGAGACGGGATTCAAGAGGGTTTGAAGTCATCAAGGTTTCCTCTTAGAACCCGGTTCGGTTAGGAAACCGAACCTACCGGACCTGGGGACCGAGACGGGATTCAAGAGGGTTTGAAGTCATCAAGGTTTCCTCTTAGAACCCGGTTCGGTTAGGAAACCGAACCTACCGGACCTGGAATACCGCTAAATTGATACCTATGGTGCGGTTTTGCGGCGCACTCGACCAAATGCGATCTGCATTCCTAACCGCACCGGCTTGGAGTGTCTCATTAATTCTAAGATCCACTATAAATTAATATTTAAACTATCATTATTGGGGTGATATTGCTTCGCAGTGAGAATAGAAAACTAACGAGAACCGGTTTCTCCATAGGTGATGGTCGGGTCGAGCGGGTAGATCGGATGCCTTAGGTTCTGGTAGTGGTAACTGAAAAGATTCGGACTGTGAACACCAGGGGTATCCACCTCCAAAATTGGTGTGCGATGGGTGTGTAATCCGCACGGAAATGCACAGCGGATTTAAGAGCGATGAGTTTGCGAGATAGCGGTTCAATCCCAACGCTCCGAAGTACTTCGGCATCATAGGGTTGAATCCGTTTTTCCGTCAAGATAATCTCAACGCCACCGACTTGGATGACGGCTGTTGTGCCCATCTGCCCGATGGTACCGCGCCCCATAGGACCCTTAAGGATAAATTTGCCATCAGAAAGCACTTTGACGTACGCTGTTAGTGCAACGGGATCCCCGTGTTGTGTATCCGTTTTCCCACCGACATTCAATTGGACGCGGTTTCCAACGCCTGCCTCGACTGCTTGAGCAACTGATTCGGGATCCGCGATCACCGCTATCACAGCGTCTTGAACGTCTGCTTCTATAAACTTCTGTAGAATCGTTGTACCGTCACAGGGACCGCCACCACCGGGGTTGTCCGCACCATCAGCGAGTACAATCGGTTTGCCATCTGTCTGATTGGCGATTTCAATCGCAGATTCCACGGTATGTAAGTTGAACGTGAACTGTGTGCGCATCTCCCAGATATAGGACGCAAACTGATCAGCATAAGTTTCCGCGAGTGCCATGTCGCCGTTGGTGGTAACGAGTATTGAAACGCCTGCATCCGTTATATCAGCAAACGGGAAGCCCATAGAGAGGGTCGCCGTCACAACGCCGCGCTCGGTTTCAAGGGCATGCAGTGCGTTGACTGCCTCTGTCATTGGGGATTTCATTGTGCATTGCGCTGGGGGGCGCGGTCAGTAAAGGGAGTTGACGGTATGCCATCGTCGGCTGAATCTTTCCCTCGTTCATACCAAAGAGCAGTTGTCCCGGCTTCAAACCCGCGTTCATAGCAATCTACGTGCGGATAGGTATCGAATCCGATGATAACATCGGAGTAGTGTGCCATTTTGGCGGTAATATTCGCGTGCAGGTCGAGCGTCGTGACGATCCGACGTTGTACCTACCATTTCACGCACTGCCTGAATTAAGTCGCCTTCCGCATCCTCAAGTTCATCTGTCACCATTGCGCCGTGTAAGTCGAGGAGCACCCCGTCAACTTCTCCGGCGTTCTGCAAAAGCGTGAGAAACTCTGTCTTAAGCGTCTGATAAGCGGCGTGATCTACTATGCCAGATGGTGTCGCAAACGTCCACAGCAGTGGGACAGGTTGTAAATTGAGTTGTTCCGCGACATCAAGGAAACCACCCGTAATTGTTCGGGTCCCTCGGAACGCGGCGATAATTTCGTCACCACGGTGGTAACTCCCCTTTTTGAAGTTATCAAGGGTTGTCACGACCGGTGAAAATGTATTGGTTTCGTGTCCGATACAGCCAATTGCAATGCGCATGGACTATCCCCCTCGCGCTTGGATGCTTCGTGGATTGTAAAACAAATATACCATATCTTTGTCAGTGTGACAAGCGGAAATTCCCAGATTTTTGTTAATCAAAAAGCGGAGATTTGATAGAATGGTTACAGAAGTTCTTAGCTGCCAGATTTCAAGGTTACCAACACCAACACAATCATAGGAGAAGTCGCTATGGAATATACCTATCTCGGTCGGATAGGACTACGCGTAAGCCGCCTCTGTCTCGGCACCGTCAATTTCGGCAGACATGCGTCGGAAGAGGATTCGTTTTCGATACTGAGTCAGGCACTACAAGCCGGAATTAACTTTTTCGATACCGCTAACATCTATAACGAAGGTTTAACCGAGACGATTGTTGGCAACTGGTTGGCAGAAGATAAGAGTCGGCGCGATCAGATTGTTCTGGCGACCAAACTGTATGGTCAACAGGTGAGGGTCCGAATGACGGTCGGCTATCGGCGTATCATATCCGTCGAGCATGTGAGGATAGCCTACGCCGCCTGCAGACCGATCACATAGACCTGTACCAGATGCATCACGTTGATCGACGTACGCCGTGGGATGAGATTTGGCAGGCGATGGAGCAATTGGTGCGTGAAGGTAAAATCCTGTACGTTGGTAGTAGTAACTTCGCTGCGTGGGACATTGCTCGCGCACAGGGTATCGCTGCCCAGCGCAACTTTCTTGGGCTTGTCTCAGAGCAGAGCCTGTATAATCTCCGTAGTCGGACAATTGAGCTTGAGGTTCTCCCGTGTTGTCGCGAGCTCGGTTTGGGAGTCATTCCATATAGTCCGATGGGTGGTGGATTGCTCTGCGGTGTACTGGATAATCCGACCACTGGACGGCGAGGCAGGGAATCGCTCAGACAAACGATTGAGACGCATCGAACCCAACTCCAAGCGTATGAGGAACTCTGCGCGTCAATAGGACAACCACCAGCTAACGTTGCTTTGGCATGGGTGCTCAACAATCCAGACGTTACGGCACCGATTGTGGGACCGCGGACAGTCGAACAACTTGAACAGAACTTGTCCGTCTTGGAATTGAAATTAGACGATGGAACCCTCACAAGACTCAATGAGATTTGGGAGGGTCCTGGTGGTGAAGCACCAGAAGCGTACGCGTGGTAGCACACAGCCACGTTATAATCGATAACCCTGTGAAACTTAAAAAAAGGAGCAAAGATGTCAAAACGTCCAAATATTTTATGGTACTGTACAGATCAGCAACGTTTCGACACCATCGGAGCGTTAGGAAATCCGCATATTAACACGCCAAGACTTGATGAATTTGTCCGGCAGTCGGTTACATTCACCCATGCCTATTGTCAATCTCCCATCTGTACACCTTCCCGGGCAAGTTTCATGACCGGTATGTATCCGTCAGCAGTGAGTGTTACCGGCAACGGCAACAAGGTTTTCCCTGAACATTACGAAGACCGATTGATTACGCACGCACTCGCGCAAGACGGTTACGACTGTGGATTGATTGGTAAACTCCATCTCGCGAGTGCATTCGATGCACAAGAAAATCGGGTCAACGACGGCTACCGCTACTTCCAATATAGCCACGACCACGGGAAGCCGAATGCGTTGGGGCACGAATACGCAGATTGGCAACGGGCACAAGGTATTGATCCACAAAAGTTGATAGCTGGCAAGGCTGCTTCCCAAAAGTATCCGAATAGTGCCGGACGCGTGAAAGCACCGACCTCCGATCACGACAATGTGCCACTGCATCTTCACCAAACCTATTGGTGTACCGAGAAAACGATTGAATTTATTGAGAAGAATCGCCGAGAAAATCAGTCGTGGATGCTGAGTATCAATCCGTTTGACCCGCACCCGCCGTTTGATGCGCCTTGGGAGTATTATCGGCGGTACGACCCAGAAACACTCCCCGGTCCGCACTTTCAAGAGAGCGACATTGCCTTTCAGTCGAAATTAACAGATGCTGGCATTGATTTCCAGTCTCAGGCGAAACCGCCTGCAGAATGGGACGACAAACGGATGCAAGCGTCTTATTACGCTATGATTGAACAACTCGACCACGAATTTGGACGCACACTTGATTATCTTGATGCCCAGGGACTTCGGGACGATACTATCATCATCTTTACATCCGATCACGGGGAGGCACTCGGAGACCACGGCTTAGTATACAAAGGGTGTCGTTTTTATGAAGGATCGGTGCGCGTGCCGCTTATCATCTCATGGCAAAACCATTTCCTGCAGGATATTCAAAGCGACGCACTCGTTGAACTGCTTGATATTGTTCCTACGTTGTACGATGCATTGGGTGTAGACATACCTTACTACGTACAGGGGAAATCTCTTGCACCACTCTTGCGCGGCGACGCACCTGCCAACGAGCACCGCGAGGCGGTTCGTTGCGAATTCTTCGATGCAATCTCAATGCCCGATCAGACCCACGCCACGATGCACCGAGACCGACGCTGGAAACTTGTCGTGTATCATCAGAAGGGCATTTGTGAACTGTACGACCTTGACAACGACCCCTGGGAACACAACGATCTCTCAGATCATGCCGATTACCAATCTGTCAAGTGGGAATTGATGCAAAAGAGTTTCGACGCGACCGTCTATGCGCACCCTCAGATGATACCTCGTGTCGCTTCGCATTAGTACTTTTTAGTTATAAGTTATCGGTCATCAGTTTTCAGTTTTGGGTTTGCGATTGCTGAACATCTTCCTTTAACGGCGTTAGAAAATTGAAGCTGCGAAGGTTACAAAGAGGGTATCGGTTCATCAGAAACCTCTTTAACTGACAACTGATAACTGAAAACTATTTCCAAGGTGGGAAAATAGATGACCTTGCGAGCAGTTCTGATCGGTTTGGCACTCGTCATCCTCCAGACAGCAATTACGCCGTATAACGACTACTACCTCCAAGGGACAGACATTTCCGGAAATCACTTTCCTTTGGGGGCAGTTTTTACGCTGATTTTTCTTGCCATAGTCGTCAATCCGATTCTGAAAAAGGCGTTTCCTCGGGCGGTGCTAAGTCCGGCGGAGTTGATGGTGGTGTGGGTAATGATGGGTGTGAGTTCAGCGATTCCATCAAAAGGGATGATAGGGTACTTACTCCCGTATCTGGCGGCACCCGTCTATTTTGCTACGCCTGAAAACGAATGGGCAGAAACACTTCACCCACACTTTCCCGAATGGCTAATTGTATGGGATAAGCGCGCTGTTACCGATTTCTATGAGGGTGAGTCGCTTGTGCCTTGGGTACTCTGGGTAAAACCGCTTCTTGTCTGGACAGTTTTCATTCTCCTACTCTACTGTCTGATCTTTTGTGTATCAATTCTGATACGGAAACAGTGGGTGGAACGCGAAAGGTTCATATTTCCGCTCGTTACTGTCCCGGTAGAGATGGTTCAGCAGGCCTCAACGCATGGCAGTCTGGGTAGTTTTTTCACGAGCCGATTCGTATGGGTAGGGTTTGGGATCGCCGCCGCATTTCATCTGCTCAACGGACTGCATGAATATGTTCCGTCACTTCCGTCCATTCCGAATCGGTACGACCTGTATACCCCGTTCACAGAGCGTCCATGGATCGTGATGGGGTGGTGGCCCCAATTTCGGTTCTTTCTCTATTTTTCCGTTATCGGTATAACCTATTTTCTTGCTATGGAGGTGTCTTTCAGTTGCTGGTTTTTCTTCCTATTCTTCAAGCTGCAGTACATAATTATCAACGCTTTTGCTATCCCTATCAGTCCGTGGATCAGTGCAAGGGGACAGACGATGGCTGCCTATGTGGTCATGGTTCTCGCCTTCCTGCTTAACAGTCGCGTCCATATAAAGACCTCCTGAAGCGAACATTTCTGGAATCGGCTACTTCCACAACGATTGACGACTCAGATGAGGTGTTGCCGTATAGGTGGGCAGTGCTGGGAACGATCTTTAGTTTTCTACTGCTTGCAGGTCTCTGCGTCTACGCCGGAATGTCGCTTTGGGTCGCTTGTAGTATTATCGCACTTTTTTTGATCACTTCTATCGCGTTATCGTGGATGGTAGTCAATGGGGGAATGTTGCTGATCCAGGCACCGATGTACCCTGTAGAATACTTTGAGATTGTTACGGGTTCAAGAATCATCAATGCAAATAGTTTAGCACTCTTAGGATTTCAGCGGGTGATGATGCGCGACTGGGGCGGTATTTTGATGCCAAGCGTCCTGCACGGATTCAAAGCGGCAGATCCCTTTAGACTGAAGCGAAGAAGCATACTCGGTGCTATGGTACTTGCCATTATTGTCGCTATCGGTGTTTCCTACGCTGCGTCGCTACCGTTGATTTATGAAAAAGGCGGCTTGAATCTCCAAAGGGGTCCCTTCATTGGATCGCCGAGGTACTTCAATCACATGGTTTCACTGATTCAGTACCCGAAAGACATGAAATTGGACGAGGCATACAGCATGCTCTTGGGTGCCGGCATCACTGGCTTTTTACTGATTATGCAGCGTCAATTCATGTGGTGGCAACTTCACCCGATTGGTATGTGATGGGTGCGGTCTATTCCTCCTATTTCCTCTGGTCGTGTATGTTTGTTGGTTGGTTCTTGAAGTACCTAATCCTGAAATCGGGCGGCATCGGATCCTATCGGAGGTTACGTCCACTGTTTATGGGATTCATTATCGGTGAATTCGGCATCGTAGGGTTTTGGATGGTGATTGGGATGTTTACCGGTGTGAATTACCAGAATGCATTACCGGGATGATTTTTTGTCTACTCATAAGTGTCAATTTAAGAAAGTGCTTCATCGTAGGGAATCAACGCCGAATGCGCGTCCGGCATTCGGCGGGGTTGAACGATTAGTGGTGTTTAGGGATCTATCTCCCAGATAGCCTCACCTGAACCCGTCAGTCTTTCATCTCGCTGCACGATGAGAGGTTTTCCGCCCATCGCGGGACTGAACGCGATGCTTCTGACCCAAGCGGATATGACCGGTTAGTGTTTTCTTATGTCTGACCTGTGTGCGGATCCCATAGGCGGATGTCGCTGTCTACGCTCCCGCTCGCGAGGATACCATCCGGACTGAACGCCAGACTGAACACCCAATGTGTGTGCCCGATGAGGGTCATCTATGCTATTTCCCCTGTATCTCTATAATCGCCCATAGGTGAATAACGTTATCACCACCGCCACTTGCGAGGGTTTTACCATCCGGACTAAACGCCACACTCTTGACGCCTTCGACCCTGGATGGACCATTATCGACACGCTCAACTTCACGCGCATAGCCAGTAGTATTCTCTTGGTCTCACCAGTGTCACACTCCATAATCGTATAGTATTGTCATCACTGCCACTTGCGAGGGTTTTACCATCAGGACTAAAGGCAACGCTATAGACTCTGTGTGCTCATGTCCGTTGAGCGTTTTCTTATGTTCACCAGTGTGCATGTCCCACAGACGGATGGTCATGTCCTCGCTTCCACTCGCCAGTATATCTCCATCCGGACTGAGTGCCATGCTATGAATACCCCACGTATGTCCTGTAAGCAGCATTTTTTCTTCCCCGGTCCGGGCATCCTGTAGACGGATGTTTAAACTATCCGTACAAGCGAGTGTTTTTCCATCTGGGGTGAATACCAACCTGATGCATCGTTATTTGACCCTTTTAGTGTTTTCAAGTGATCGTAGCCTGTGTGCGCCGTAATCCGAAGCGAATCGTGCAGCGCTATACGCCCGCGTGCGCGACAGCAAATTTTCCATCGGGATTGAACGCCACGCTATAGACGTAATCCGTATGTCCAGTGACTGCATATTTTTCATTGCCTGTGCGGACATCCCAGAAGCGGATGGTGCCATCGCCACTTCCGCTACTTGCGAGGTTTTACCATCTGGACTGAAGGCTAAACCCTCAATATCCCCCGTGTGTTCCGTGAGTGTTAGTCTGTGTTCGCCAGTGTGTGCATCCCAGATACGTACTGTTTCGTCTAAATATGATGAACTTGCGAGCGTTTTTTTTTCCGTCTGGACTAAACACGACCCTTTGAACGTCCTCCGAATGGCCAGTGAGTTTTCGCTTAGTTTACTTGTGTTTAAATCTGAGAGGTAGATGATACCATCGCTATTGCCAATAGCGACTATTTTTCCATCAGGACTGAACGCTACGCTAAAGACACTATCTGTCATACGCACAGTGAATGTTTTCTTGGGTTTACCGGTGATCGTATCCGATATACAGATTCGCCACCCCAAGTTACACTCACAATTGTTTGCCTCCGGCCTGAATGATAAACGTATTGATATGTCTGGGTCCGTGAGCGCGCGGCCTTTCTGTTCTCAGTGATGTATCCAGAATCGATGATACCCCTGCACTCCGTTGGCAAGTGTTTGTCCATCGGGGCTGAACACCAAGTTTGAGACCGATTTCGTACTCCCGGTGAGCACTTTTTGGGCACCTGTGCTTCTATGCCACAGTAGAATGTGCCATCCTCGCCACCACTCGCAAGGATGTGTCCATCCGGGCTGAAGGCAATCTGAATTGACTGCGCCTTGACTGACACTCGTATGTGCGCTGTGACGCAAGTTGCGACCTCTTGATGTGTTGCTGTATCTAGTATCCTCAATACCGATACCAGTCGCAACAACGAGAATTGTGCTATCGGAGGAATACTGTATTTTACTTATCTTACCTTTACCGAGGCGTGCTTTAACACCTTCTGGTAGATTCCATTGCATGGATTCTTGTGCTATATTATTTTGCATAGACTTAGTGCCTGTTGATAGACCGTTGCTGCTGTTTCGACCGGGGATAGTATCACTTCCGACTCGGTTTTTCACATCAGATTTTGATAGGATATTATGGGTAACGGGTGTGTCAACGATTTCAATAGTGGTTTCTGATTGTGCATCGAAACTATAGGGCGGCTGAGAACGCGCGATGAATTGATTGCTCGCTCCCATCAACAAAATGATCAAAATAGCAGATGAACCTAAAGCAGCTAACGGTAGCAACGGCTTACCTCCTGCAGGAGATGTCTGTTTGATTACGTCAATGTTCTGCATGATGTTTTCGATTAGATTTGGAATTAATGGGTGCTGCCGAGGGTCTCGCGAATTATCGGTTCCTCGTTCTTTAAACGTTCTCGCGCGCGTTGAAGCCGACTTTTAATCGTGTTCGGGGACACCCCTAAAAATTTGCTAATCTCTTCACAGGTCATTTCGCCGAGGTAGTAAAGGACCATCACCGTCCGTTCGCTCTCCGGCAGTTTTGCCATGAGCCTTTGCACGATTTGCCGTTGATGTTCAACTGCGGTATCTTCACGCTGTTCACAGACATAGTGCGAATAAGCGGTTTTTTCGAGTGTTTCGTCACTGACGGCTTCCAACGATTGCATATTTAATTGATTCTTTCGGAACCATGCTCTGCAAAGCCGATCGGCAATTACATAGAGCCATCCGGCAAACTGACTCGGATTTTTTAGCGATGCGAGTTTTTTGTGTGCCTGAAGGAAGGTGTCTTGGGTGATTTCTTCAGCGATATGGAAATCTCCGATTTTCCGCCATGCCAGGGCGTGAACGCCTTTTTGGTATTTTCTAACTAAAGCACTGAAAGCAGCCTCGTCACCTGACAATACGCTCTGAATCAGTTCAACGTCGTCTTTTTCCATCGGAGACCCCCATAACCAACAGGACGGACGCAACGCGCAATGAATTGCACTACTACGAACCACACTGCTTTTGAGAAACACATGTATTCCCAAGGTTTGTCTGTTAGTAGTCCGGCGATTTATCGCCTGTCTACGTAAATCCTAACCAATTTAGGCTTACAATTGTTAGTGACGCGATTTTTCGGGGGGTAAGTTGCATAATTGTCATAATTGAAAAAAATCTAAATTTTTAATCAGAAATACCCTATTTTGTTCCCTATATTGCCGACACCTGCAACCCATATTTATGAACCTATCTCACTATAAATCGCGAGAAGCTTAAGATGTACCGAAATGATCGGATCCGGGCATCAGATGTTCCCTTGCGACTTCCGCGTTGATTTCGACACCTAATCCCGGCTGATCTGGCACTACAAATGCGTTGTCTTGCATGAGTGGTCCGCTGGAAATTGCGAGATCCCATCGCCACTCAACCTGATCGGCGTGATATGGGAGTTCCATGACGATGAAATTCCGCACGGCGGCACAGACATGCGCCGTCGCTGTCATGCCGATTGGCGATGTGATGTTGTGCGCAGCAAATGGGATGTAATAAAGATCTGCCAGATCGGCTATTTTCTTCGCCTCGAGCATCCCGCCTGTTCCAGACACATCGACATGTAGCATATCACAGGCTTGTGTTTGGATGAGTTCTCTGAAACCGTCTCGACGAAACAAGAACTCACCGGTACAGATCGGAATAGAAGTGGCGGCACTAACCTTCGCCATCGCTTCGACGTTATCATTCGGTACAGGGTCTTCCAAAAACATTAAATCGAACGGTTCCAAACGTTCGGCAAGTTTCATCGCTGAATGGGTGCTGAATAGGCTATGACAGTCGATACTGATGTCGATTCCGTCACCAGCGGCTTCTCGTGCGGCGGCGACCAACGATGTCATTTTCTGTAATTCCGCTGTACTGAGTTCCCGATTGACCGCATCCTGCTTGAGTTCGTTTGCGGAGTTATCGATATCAAACTTGATCGCTTGGTAGCCATCCGCAACGCCTTCTCTGGCTCGTTGTGCCCATCCTTCAGGTGTGTTCCCTTTCCCATGCCCGACATCGGCATAGAGTCGGATACGGTCCCGATATTTTCCACCCAGCAACTGATAGACCGGCACGCCAAGGCTTTTTCCAAGTAGATCCCACAGTGCTGTTTCTATCCCACCGATAGCCGATAAACCCATTGCGTATCGGTTGCTCGCTGCGCCAATCATTCGGTGGTAGAGGGGTTCTATATTTCTTGGATCCGCGCCGACGAGTGTTTTCTTGAATTGCAGGATAATTTCAGCGATTCCCGCCCCAGGATGTGCCTCACCTATCCCTGTCAATCCGTCGTCGGTTTCAACCTGAACATAGTTCCACTGTTTGTAGCCTTTTAACGTCATCGCTTTTACATCAGTAATTTTCATATATATCTCCATGTGTATGAAATCGGTTGAAAGAATCAATAGGTGTTACAGTTACAATCCAAAGAAATTTGATGTTATTTCCGCCGCAAAAGATTATCCAAAGGGGTATATTCACTGCCTCGAGGTAACTCCGAAACAATAGCGCGCCCGTTCCGTTTGAAGAGTTTATATGCCTTTGCATTCGGAGTAGAGCTCAACACGCGGTAATGGTTTCCAACAATCTCAATCGCAGCGTTGTCGTCACAGGCAATTCCGATGCCTCCGCGTTTTTCAATCATCTTTGAGAAGGCATCTTCCCGTTTCTCACTGTGGTAGTGAGGGCAGTATACAGCATTGATGAATCCCAATCCACTCACACGGATATGCTCCCACTCTGGGTTGCTGGAGAAGGAGCGAGAATCACTGCAACCGTATTTGAACCAGCAAATCGCTCCTGCGCTGAGACCGGACAGGACAATGCCACGCGACGCAGCTTCCGCTAACACAGTGTCCAACCCCAACCGCCGCCATATTTTCATCAGCCTGTAGGTATTCCCACCACCGACATAAATCAGATCTGAATCCAATACCAACGCTGACATCTTCTCAAACGCCGGAGGACTTTGAATCAGATTGAGGGTGCGCGTTTGGCACCCAAAGCGCTTGCCGTAACACGTCTCGAAAGTATCGATATACCCATCGGCATCGCCGCTGGCAGTTGGAATAAAGAGTGCCTTTGGTCGTGTTTTGCCGGTCAACTCAATGATACGTTTGTCGATGTCGGCGGTTTCCAGCATTTTAAGTTCTCCACCACCGATTGCGACAATCTTACGTGTTGTTTCCACCAAATTATCTCCAAAACGGTTCCTACGTGTGTTGGTTAGAAAAATTCAATTATGTTGCGTCTACTACGCATTCATGATAGCATATCCTTTGAGATTGTGCAACAGCGACGAAAGGAGATTAGTTAATGAAAGATCAAGAAATCAAAGCCTCTTATGAACGTGAAGGTTACGTTGTGGTCAGAGACCTTATTGATAACCGAGATTTAGATCCGATCCGAGATTTCATCAAGGCGAAGGTTGATGCGTATAGCCGTGAGTTGTATAGTGAAGGGAAACTATCATCGCGCTTTGAGAATGAATCGTTTGAGCGGCGTTATGCTGTGATCTGCGAAGAGATGGATATATTACCTCGCAACTGGTCTTTTGGTATGTATGGACGTGAATTTTACGATCTCTACAACCTCCCCGGTGTTCTGGACGTGCTTCGCCTTCTTTTAGGTCCTGAAGTCTCAAATATCGGCACGCCGGCGTTACGGACGAAACTCCCCGGAAGCGTGATTACTTCGTTCCCATGGCACCAAGACAGCCAGTATTTGGACCAGGCGACCATTGGTAAGAAGGAGAAGCACACAGGCGGTCTCCACATGGTTACGGTGTGGGTGCCGCTGGTCGAAGCGACAGTCGAGAATGGGTGTTGCTGGGTCATCCCCGGTAGTCACCGTTGGGGTTTACTGGACGGCGCGCGAGGTGCAGATTCAAACGTCCAAATGGAGGAAGACGTTGAAACGCGTGGCACGCCAACGCCTATCCCTCTTAAACCTGGCGGAGCTTTGTTCATGTCGAACCTTTGCGTACATACCAGCAAAGTGAACACAACGCGGAAATCCCGTTGGAGCATCGACTTCCGTTACTTTCCCACGCCTGATCGGGCAGACGTGACTGCCGCGGAGCGTGAAGGTGCCGAATTCGTGAAAAATAAAGCTCTGGCGGGCGGTAGAGTGCCTCTCGTTGTGCTCACTGAAGGTCGTAAACCGACGTGGGAAGAATGGGAAGCACAGGTCTCGACACAATAGGCGCGTAGGTGTTTTTGCTTGGGTGTTTCCCCAGGTTGAACGGAAACCACTATTCATGATCACGCAGATAAGAAATTATCGGGTTTGGTGCCTGTTTTTGAGGAGCAGGAGCGGTTCGGAATGCAGATCGCATGAATCAACGCCGGATTTAGTCTGGGAATAGACTAAATCCATTCCTTGTATTACATTTGCGCGTATTGCCTCGCATTGTCCCGCAAGCCTCTATAGGAGACCTGCGCAGAAGTCGTCGGGGCGAGTACGCCGCAAAACCGCTCCTACCGGGTCTGGGGTGAAAACCGGACCCAAAAATGGAAAACCGAATGGCTTACCTAAAAATAGGCATGTATGCCCATTCCCAGGTAAACACCGGCGATCCCCTTAGATTGGGAGTCGGCTTTTTCCCTGCCAAATCCTTGACCGACTCCGACGTTTAAGCCGAGAGGGATCCCTCCGAGTGAGAACACAAGCTCGCCACCAAAAGCGAGTCCAGCTCCTAACGTCGTGGTGAGGAAATCCCGCTCTTTGTTATATCGCCAACCACCTTCCAAGGTGAAATAGAGTCGGGATATGTTCCATCTGCTGTGGTGCTCGAATATGGCATACGAAACACCGGCTCCTAACATGTGGTCGCTATTCTGATCGCTGAGAATAAAACGTCCAACGGTTTGAAGGTATACGGGTGCGAGTCCGGTGTAGCGAAAACTAATTCCTCCAAATTCAGAGGTTGCTCCCTGAAGTCCGATACCGAAATCTTTGGTGAGATCAGTTTCCTGTGCCTGAGCTGAGAAACTGAGGGTTACATCGAAAATATGCAAAGCATGCAAAAAATTGAGCGTGTCATTGTTTGTCTCCTTTTTGTTTATCGTGTGACCAGCAGTGTTACCCGATGCAGATCCGTTGCAGACGGGTGATATATGAGGATGTCCTGCTTGTTGTCCTTGTTGAGGTCCACCAGCCGAGCGTTTCGCTCGTCGTTAGGCATAGCGACTGCCACCTTTTGAGGTGTCCGCGCTAACAGTTCCGGTCCCGGGACACCGAGAAAGACATGCAAGAGCTCTTCCCAGTTCTTTCCGACCAGTAGGTCCGAACGTCCGTCACCGTTCACATCGCCAAGCAGGACCGCTGGGAAGAAGACACCATGTGCGTCAAAGAGGTCTAAGTCCGGCCTGATTTTACGCGTGGTAGTGGGTTTATCGGGATAAGTGCTGTCTTCCATGCGATAGAACTCGAGATCTATTGAGATTGAATTGCCGACCATCGCACGGACTCATCCCTACAAGCCCGGTCTTTACGTTTCTGAACAGAATGTCAACCTCACCATCTCCATCGAAATCTTGTATCCACTGTGACGAATAGCCCCAGGGCTGCAATCCTCCAGCGGTCCCGCGCGGGTTGGATTGTCATACTGACATCCCGTGCGAACACGGTCCCGTCGGGTGTTGGCGTGCCGAAATGCACCTCATACAGGCTGCGCTGTTTCCCAAGGCTCCGTCCCTCTAACGAGTGGATTACCAGGTCGGCAACGCGATCGCCGTTCAGGTCTGGAACGTGTGTAGTACCTTCCGCTTCGTATTTTCTCTGAAGCCGAAGATGAGCGAGAACATATTCTCGCCGCTGAATTCAAAAGCGATTGAGTAGGCACCGTCAGTGTCAAATGGGATGTCAACAGTGAAAGTCTCTGCCACCGGGGAAAACATCCCGCGAGTGTCCTGGCGATAAACGTCGAAATGATCAGCGTTCCAGAACACGAGATCGCTGCGTCCGTCTTGGTCGTAGTCCATCTGGTGGACACGACTCAAATACCAGAGGGCAGTTAAGGGGGTTATCCCTACCTCCCGGTAACTGTGAGTATCGTCCAAGGCATCTCGTCGAGAAAGGGGTCAGGCGGTCCGAGTTTTATCGGGTTAGTGAACGACCGTCGCGCAATTGTGTGGCTATCCAGAAACCATCAATGTCTGGCACTAATCAGTTCATCGAGGTTATCGCGGTTTACGTCTCGACTGATGTCAACATAGGGGATTCCACCTTCACCCGTCGCCTTGTAGTTCGTAGTGACTTCGACCAGTGCACGTTCCACCGCCGATTCCGGATCAAACCAATTCAGGCGACCATGCTCGTACGTGATTAAACGATCGCGTCCACCGATGTTTGCGACATCGACGAACAGCACTTCAGGACGCAGCGTTACGTCAAGTTCGGATACCCAAGTAGCTCCTCACTGAACGTGTAAATGTGCAAATGCCGGTTACCATTTTCGCCAATGTTCACCACAGCAAGTTCGGCGCAATCACCACCAAGAAGAAACCCCGTCAAAACGGTTTGGTGTTTCGCAACGCCGGTTTCGACTTCGTGCTGCTCGAAGGAGAATTCCGTAGACGCAGGCATCATTGTCGGAGCAACCACTTCGTTAGATCGACCCGAACAGCTCGACAGGAACACGCCGAAAACCAGTATGGAAAACAGGCTCCGCCGATAATGCCGTGTGCGTGGAGACACAGAACTAAGTTTTTTCGGAATCCAGTGTTTGTGGAATAGGTTTCGCTTTTTCATTTTTGTTTTCCTTTCGGATTTCGACATGTTAACATAGATAAATAAATGAACAGTGTTAACCTACAGGCAAAAAAATATACCGATGGTTTATATCGGCGATCAGATCGTCACCCGATGTGGCTCGGTTCCCGGAGGTGTGCAGATCGGGGCTCATGAGCGTCTCGTAGCGTGAATGTGTGATGCATGAGGAGAGCCTTACCCCGTCCTTGTTGAGGTCCACCAGCCGATGTATTCCTCGTCGTTGGGAACGCGACCGCTACCTTCTGGAGATCCGGGCGAACATTTTGGCTCGGCACGCCCGACGAAGACTGCCATGATCGAGGATGATTCGCGAGAAGCAGGTCTGAGAAACCGTCGCCTGTCACAATCAGCACGTACATGCGCAAAGTTGTGTTGAACGCGCGTGTTGGTAACTCTTTTGGGTGTTCCGTCTCTCGTGTGTCTCCCCCTCGAAGCACATGTCAGTGGCAACCCACCCTGTGCTCGCGATTGCTTGGCACTCCGTCCAAGGCGATTCTGCGGGTCGTTTGGGGGTGCCGGGTTAGCCGCCTTCTTCCATTTGATAGAACTCAAGATCCAGCCCAGACGTCATCCCCATGAACCCCTTGATGCTCTTCCAGAGGCTACCCTTAAGGAACTCGATATCGATAGTCGTGATCATCAGGTCAACTGGCCATCGCGATGAAGTCGTGCCGGCTCATCCCGATCTGGATTCTGTCGTCCGACTGGAACGCTATGTCGACACCCCCGTGAGAACACGATGCCACCATCGGATGTTGGCGTGCCGAAATGCACCTCGTAGCTGAGTGCTTGCTGGAGATGTCCCTGCCCGAAAGCTTGAAAACTACCAGGTCGGCGACGCCATCACCGTTCAGGTCGGCCAGTGAGTGCAGCACCTTCCCTGTCATGTCCCCGTGGGTGAGCAAGGAGAGCCGGTCCGAGTCGAATGCCACATCGGTCGTGAAGGTCTTGGCTTTCGGTGCAAATAGTCCGCTGTCTCGTTGGAGATGAACCTCGAAGTGGTCCTCGTTTCCAGAACACCAAGTCGCTGCGACCATCTCTGTTGTAGTCGATCTCGTGGACACGCTCTGAGACCAAGGGTCGTATCGATATCCGTCGGCTCCGGGATCCGCTCCATCTCGGTAGTGGGGACCGATCTTCACTTTCTCAGCGAATGTACCGTCGCTCATCTGGATAAATACCCAGAACAGAAGAACCATCGGAGTCGGGCACTACCAAGTCGTCGCGGGCGTCGCCGTCACGTCGTGAGTGATATCTACATGGGGAAATTTCGCCCTGCGAGGCGCTTGAGTTGCATCTTGCAGTTGCAAGTAACCGATACCAACATGTGTTCCGTTGTCCGACTCGGGGTCAAACCAGTTCAGCGACCTGCTCGTACGTGATATTAAGCGATCGCGTCCGTTGATGTTTGCCCACGTCAACGAACAACACTTCAGAACGCAGCGTTGCGTCGAGCTTTCGGGCCCCAGGTGTCGTCGCGAAGGCTGTAGATGTGCAAAGCGGTGGTCGCCGTTCTCGTCGATGTGCACCACGGCAAGTTCCGCGATGAGGCCTTCGAGAAGAAATCCCGTCAAAAACGGTCTGGCGTTTTCGCGGAGCCAGTGACGACCCTCGTACCGCTCGAAAGTGAATTCAGCGGCGGGTGTCGTCTGTTCACCTCTTCGCCGAACAGATCTGAGCATCCCAATAGAAATACACCAAACGACAGTATGGAACAGGCTTCGTCGATAATGTCTTGCGCCCTCGGCTGCGGAAAGAAAGCGTTTGTGAGATGGGTTTCGCTTTTTCATCTTATTCTCCTTTTCGGATTTTTCGATATATTAACATAGATAAATAACTTACAGTGTTAACATATTAGCAAAAAATGTAAGCGACCTTCGCCAAATTGTTTCAAATCTATAGCCTTCAACCCTCAATTGTCGTGTGGTTACCGTGTCGAATCAATTTATCTTTTTCAGTCCAAGGGAAATCGGGAAATCAATCGGAGCAATGTGACAACCGTGAACCGCTGACCACAGACACCTGACCGGATGGTTTCGACATCCACTGCGGAATATCTCTGTCGAACGCATTCAGAACCATTCCCGCAAGTAATTGAACACCTTTCGCCAACCGATCCTTCTTGGAGCCCTAAACCTGCTGGAACTGGGGACGGATGACAAACGTGAGTTTGTAATCTTGCGGATATTTGAGGCGAACTCGACTAGGCTCGTCCACTTTCTCAGGGTTCGACGGAGTCGCTTTATCATTTGTTAGCTGCTCAAGGTGTTCACAGGTTCAGGAGTGTTCCTGCAACCGAATCTAAAGATCTGCCTGTCTTGAAATAGAGGTAGATCGTTGTTGGTGAGTATTCGATCTTGTTGGCAATTTTTTTCGCATGAGACGTTCTCATAACCTTCATTGACAAAACAATTCTCGCGCCGCGACAAGGATTTGCCGCCCGCAACTGTCTTTTCCCTGGCTCTCCGTTCTTAGTACATTGCTTCCCCTTGATTTACACAGTGATTTATAAACCTTAACAGTGTTAAGTATATCACATATTTTTCTGTCTTGTAAATTTTTTTTGAAATTTATAGTAAAGCCGAAAATATGGAACACCGAGAATTTGGACTTCCCGCTGCGCTGGCGAGGTTTTGTGAAGATTGAGATTATCGGGGGCTGTTGTGGGTGTTAATTGTCAGTATCAGGATTCATGAGGATTTAGGATTTACAGGAACGTCGAAATAGTGCTCTTTGCTCCAGCGAGTGCTATGTAGAGGGGTGTCGTTGCGTGAGGGTGGTCGGTGTTGTTTTCGTATGAATCGCGGATTTCACGAATTTCGCGGATTTTAAGGTTTTTCTCACTTGACGGTCTTCAGTCCCGTAGGGTTTATTTGCTTGGGTGTTCTTCAATATGTGTATAGAAACGCTTTTCCACATTGTCTTTGGTCCCGTGGGAATAGCATATTTGTAGGATTGACTTTTTTTCATATCCGGCTATAATTATGTATATAAAATAATTCGCAAGACTTGTTGAATTTCGATTGAACCCTTGATGTCATGGGAAGTTGGGCATAAACGTCTGGGCAATAGATGTAACAGGAAACGACTAAGGAGGTAAAACGAATGACACTTACCAGATCTGTCGCTTTTAAACCGTTACGTTATTCCGCTGTATTTTTGGCAACGTTGTGCATCCTTTTTGGGCAATCCATTGATGTAGCGGGAGAACTGGTGGCGCGCTGGGAGTTTAATGAAGGTAAAGGCAATACCGTTAAAGATAGCTCCGGCAAGGGCCACGATGGTGACTTCGCCGGTGGGGATCCACAGTGGGTACCTGGTGTTGCGGGCAGTGCATTGGCGTTTGATGGTGATGACTACGTTGCCATTGATGCTTGGATTACAGAAACGGGTGCTGCAGATTTCACGATTACGGCTTGGATAAAAACCACCAAGACCAGCGTTAGCTTTCTGACGAAGAACAATGAGGATCGGGTACTTGACTTTCATGAAAAACTGTTTTATGTGGGAGATGCGGCGACTTCAGGAGGCGGTAAGACCGGAGCCGTCGAATGGGTCGGTCATAGCTGCGACTGGATACGAGGCGATACAGATGTTTCGGACGGCAAGTGGCATCATGTTGCCGTGACTTGGGAGTTCAAAGCACTTGAGGGGCATATCTATGTCAATGGTATAGAAGGCGTTCATCACATGGGGTATAACGGTGGCGAGGATATTAAAGGAAACACATGGCAGATTGGATTTACGAGTGGCTGGCCCGGTGGGGTCGATTACGAGGGTGCCGTTGACGACATCCGAATTTACGACTCGACACTGACTGCCAATGAGATTGAAGAGGCTATGGTAGAAGGGCTGGCGGTTGACCCGACTGGTCTCCTCGCTGTCAGTTGGGCGGAGATCAAGACGCGATAGATGCAAACGGATGCGTTTTTCAGACCTCAGGGTTTATAATTCCGCCTGTTTTCCTAATCCCTGATGAATTTTGACGATCATGTTCGGTATTCGTAGGGGCGAGGTCGCTCGCCCGATTCGGTATTCGTAGGGGCGAGGTCGCTCGCCCGATCTCCGATGAACTGCCATTACCGATTTTGTTTGTCAAGTTTCATTAGGAGCGGCATCTGTATAGAAAAACCTTCCATCCGTTACCTTCGGCTATATAGGGCTGGAAACACATAGACATCTACCAAACAGGCACACCGCTGGCGATGTTTGTAACCTCGCCTTTTCTACTTCTTGGATGGATGTTGTTATCGTCTGAATCGCGGATTATCGCGGATTTCGCGGATTGGAAGCATTTTCTTGATTGTTGTCTGAATCAGGATTTTCAGGATTATAGGATTTGCAGGATAGCTGTAAGTACTACTGTTCTATCCATTTTGGATGTTATGATAGGTTCGTAGTCGTGCGATTTTGCGGCGTACTCGCCCAAATGCGACGTGCATTATCGCACGCTCGCATTGACCGTGAGAGGAATGCGATCTCTGCATGGTCCCTACTACAAACGAAAGCAGACACCATAATTGAAATGGATAAAATGCCATTCTTTGCTCCAGATGAGGATTAATAAAATAGTGGTAATTCTATGTTCAAACCCGGTCGGTGCGGTTTCCTAACCGCCCCGGCATAGGTAACAACTTACCGAGTTTAAATTCTTAATCTTTCATGTGCGAGCACAAGCAGAGAAAATGTCTATAGAAAAGCGGACCCGCCAACGTTAGCACCAGCGGCGTGCTATGTAGGGGTTGCGTATGCGTATTGTTATGGTGTTTGTTTGGTTGGTGGTTTGGGGTGTGGTTGTGGGGGTTTTGGTGTTTTGGGTGGGGTGTGGGTTGGTTTGGTGGTTTTGGGGTGTGTTTGTTGGGTTGGGGGTGGTTGTGGTGGGTGTTTTTGTGTTGTTGGTGGTTTGGGGTGTGTGTTTTGTGGGGTGTTGGGGGTTGGTGGGGGGTGTTGTGGGGGTGGTTTGGTGGGGTGGGTTGTTTGTTTGTTGTGTTGGTTGGGGTGGGTTGTGGTGGGTTTTTTGTTGTTGTCTGAATCAGGATTTACAGGGAAGTCGCAAATAGGACTCTTTGCTCCAGCGGAGCAACATATCTATAGAAACCGATGTTGTTCAACGTCCGCACTCCAGCGGAGTGCTATGTAGGGGGGTTGCCGTATGCGTAATGGTTATTGGTGTTTGTTTCGTCTGAATCACGGATTGTCGCGGATGCCACGGATTACGCGGATTAGGAGTATTTTCTTGATTGTTGTCTGAATCAGGATTTACAGGATTCAAGGTTACGATGGTTACGAATAGCTCTCTTTGCTCCAGCGGAGCAATATGTCTATAGAAAAGGATACCGCCGGATATCCGCACTCCAGCGGAGTGCTATGTAGGAAGGTGCCGTTTGCGTAAGGGGTCGTCGGTGTTTGTTTTCGTCTGAATCGCGGATTGTCGCGAATGCCACGGATTTCGGGGATTGGAAGAGGTTTTTTATGTGCAGCTCATCTTAGCCCCAGCGGGGCGACATTTGTGTAGAAACGCGTCCACCCCACCTCTTTTAGCCCCAGCGGGGCGATATGTGTATAGAACCGTTTTTCACTGGCTGACGGTTCAATACAACAAGACAAGCACTCAGCATATTTTCAACTTCTTCGCGTGTATCGTCACGTAACGGACCCGAAAGTGCCGCACGATAAAGGTTCACCGCTCGACTCGGATCCCCCGCTTTTCATAACACGATGCCGCGCTGATCCGATGCAGTGCCCCTTCTAACTCTCGACCAATAGTATCAAGCATTGGTGCGATATACTCCTCATAGGTGGCAGCCGATAACCAAAGCGGTTGTGCCGTTTCCCTCATGCCAATTTCCCAAAATGCTTGCGCTTTCGAGAGGATTTCTGACTTTCGGTGCATTGTCTCTATGAGTGCTTTCGTGTAGGGTTTAGTCTTTCCGTTGAGCATGTGCTTATTCCTTGAAGTTACCATATTCATTACCTCTAATCGTCCGCTCTTTAAGAGGAAATGTGTAAGTCCTACTAAGATTAGAGATAACCCGCGTTGGACAGTAAGTTGGCGAGGTTCTTCGGTCTACCACAACGCCCTGTCAGAACTCTCAAAGTTTTACCTTTGAATGTCAGTTTAAGTTCTTGGTTTTGCCGTCTTGGATTCGTCCATCTAATGCCATTCTTAGTTATTACAATTGGAACGTAGACGGTTTTTTTCAAATCCTGCACGAGGGTAGCGGCAAATTCTAAACCGTTTTTCAACTGCTCAAGAACTTGTGATTCTTCGCCTTTACCACGACCTTTGAGTTCAATCGGAACGGCGACGAAGGTGTTTTTATTCCCGTAAAACAGCAGACGGTCACACCTTTTTCGGTCGTCTCCGCGTGCGTCAAATTCTTTCTCTACATTTATCACGATCTTCTGCCTGGGTATGTCGGTAAGGTATACCTGACATCCTTCTCCGCTGCATGATTTGGTGAGGCTGTTTGGAGATACTTGCTCTCGAATGTGGGTAAGCCCTTTACTCAGATTCAACCGCATCCTTCCCTTTGGTTTCTTCAATTCTATTTTGAAGTCCTGCCGAACGGTTATAGAGATCCTCGGCTATATCCAAGTGATCTTCCGGTTCTATACCTTCAACAAGGTCGAATGGGAGTTCTGTGACAGGTTCGTTCTTATGGAATGACCACGCGCCGACCTCTTTCTCTTTCAGGTAGTCTGCTGATTCACTCGTGGATTCCCCCTGTTTCCGCAATTCACCCTCGCGGATTAGGTTCCCGATTTGTTGGAGGAGATAGTTGCTATGTGTTGTAATCAGGACATTAACACCGGCTCGGACCAAACGCGCAAGGGTTTGGGCGATTTTGGTTTGTGCGCCGGGATGCAGGTGAGATTCAGGTTCTTCAATAATAAGCAAGTCGCCCTGTGTAAGGATACCTCGTATAAAGAGGACTAAAGGTGCAAGTTCGGATACCATCGCTGAGGAATGGCTCATCCGTAAGCCCTCTTCCGCCTGATCTGGACGGTAGAGAAATTCCGGATACGCTTCTGGCGTGGCGCGTTTAACCTCTATTTTGCCCTCCAGCAGCGCCGTCTCCAGTTGTTTAGCGACGCGACTTATCCTGCTTGACGATCCCTTGCGTTCCCTGTATTGGAAAATCTGCTCCAGAAAATCCCCTATCATTCCTGAAAACGTAGATACTTCAAGGCGATCTAAACCGATGCGTGTCGCCCGTTTGATAAGGGCAGTCGAAAGCACATCGCGGCTTTGCATGATGCCGCTCCGAGCAGCAGGCAAGTAGTATGAATCCACTGCTTCTCCCCGACGGTTGCCTAAAGTCCGAAATAGACGTTCAACATCGGATATTCTCATGAACTCAGTCTTACGCTTTGCGTTGAGGAGAATCATGTCTGGGTTGATGTGTCCATCTGTAGTGAGACCAGATCCAGTGTCCCACGCCTCAAAAGACCAATACGTTTGATCACCCTCGCGAACCGACAATGAAACTTCCATTTCGTGCTAGCTCCCCAGTGAATCGAATTAACTTGGAAACAGTCTCATGGTCGAAACACCGTTTGAGTTGGTTTGTGAAGTCTTCCTGATCTGTGAATCCAGATTCCAGCAGGGCGTATATCTGTTGAGGTAAATCGGAAAATTTGAACGGACGCTTAGGCGTGTTTAACTTTTCAAGTACCTCTAATATCTCTTGTTCTAACTCCTCCTGCCCACTTTGTGGACCATGGTCTCGAAAACGGCGAACATAACCGAAATAAGAAGCAACATAGTCTGCCCAAGGAAATTTTGAGAGGCCCTCAAAATTTTGGTGTAATGCGTAAATGAGTGCGGCGAGATAGGTCTTGCCGGTGTTACTCTCGCCGACGAATACGGTCAGCGGGCGCAGGTCTATCTCTGCTTTTTCTATTGGACCGAAGTTTTTTACGGTGATGTCGACGTTCATTTTTTTCCTCTATTGGTGCTGGCTTTGAGTCAATTATAGACGCATTTGCGATCGATTGCAAGGAAAATGAGATTGCTTCGCGTTTCACCATTGTTGTTGGTAAGGAGAAATTATAGTAACACCCATAATTACTTGGATATTGGCAGTAGGCGAGGTTAGGAAACCCCATCAATCTCCGCCATAACCCGCAACGTCTCCGCCACAGCCACCAAAATCGCACGATACTGCCGCACCTCCGCATGACTTAACACTTCACCGCGCCGATCCTTCAACCACTTCTCACACACCTGATACGCACCGATCTCATATTCCCACACTTTCTGATGGCACATCCGTGAAATACTGGGTCGGATTGATCCAAATCTGTCCGTCTGAATACCGCACCTGTGCGACAACACCGTCTCCTTCACCCTCAAACCGATGCACCGCCGAAACCCGTGTTCTTGTAGGAGCGACCTCGGCTGGCGATATATCTCTCAAGAGATGCGAGTCAATCAAACGCTGCCCCAACGCCGCGAGTGTGCGGAATTGATCTATATCCTGTGGCAACGGGATACGTGGGAAGTCGTATTTCAGAAAATCATAATACCGTTCGCGATAGGTTGGACTATACAAGATTGCATAGATATAAGCGAGAACCTCCTCCGGTGAAACGCCTTCGGGGAGGTTAAGCGGCGCAACTTGTGGGAGTCCCAACGCCTCTGAAAGCGTGGTGAGAAACGCAGGTTTGAAATTGAGCGAACGTTCTGTCGAAATTCCCAATTCCTCTGGATTCGGATATAGGTAGAGCGGAAACACGTATGTAGATTCGCTGGTTCTGTTTGAGATGTAGGATTTGTCAGTGATTTGATCGGTTATCAAGGCGTGTTGCCATACAGGACTTTTGACAACGCGACAAACGCAGAGCGCAAGGTTTCCCGCAAGTAGATGAGACATAACAGCATCGCGAGGAGTACAGTGGAATCCACG